GGGTCAGCTCAGGTCAGCTTTGTGAGGCTTGGGGCCCAGTATAGTTCGTGCTCCTTGCAGGGAGCTCGGGTTCTCAGTAGGGAGCTCGCTCTTAATAGCGAGCTCGGACTCCCAATAGGGAGTTTGTTCTTAATAGGGAGCTCGGTTTTTAGGGAGCTCGGGTTCTTACTTGAGGAGCTCGGACCCTTAACAGGGAGCTCGGGCTCCTAGTAGGGAGCTCGGTTTTAGGGAGCTTGGACCTTTGACAGGGAGCTCGCTCTTAATCAGGGAGCTCGGGCTCCTAGTACCGAGCTCGGACTTAGGGAGCTTGGGTTTTTTAGGGAGCTCGGACCTTTGACAGGGAGCTCGCTCTTAACAAGGAGCTCGGACTAAGTACAGCGGTCTGGAGTTCGGGCTCGGTAGTGAGTTTGGACTTGCTTCYGATRTTCGCTTTGGGTGCTCTACTGTCCCGAGCTGCTTGCCTTTGCCATGTGTCGGGCGATCGCGAGGTCGGGCCAAATTTCCCTTCATCAGATTGCATTTCCATGCTATCAATGTATATTGTATTTACTATTTGGGAGTTATCTATCAGAAGTTGCAAAATGCAAGTTTACTGCAATTAATTCAAATAATATTGTGAACTTGTCAAGGAAGCTAAAATTAGTATCTTAACTATTATTAAGCTTGCGTATCTGTAGAAAGTTTCTTGACATTTGGATCCTTGTTTTGTCATCAGGGGTTGTTATTTTCAGGAAGGGGAAGAGATCAAAATGGATGCGAGTGTAGAAAGTGCATATCAAAAGTCGATTGAGACATTAATCAACTGGCTTGGTGGGGAAGTTAACATGAGTAAGACCCAGGTCTTCTTTCGCACTTTTGCCCCTGTACACTTCAGGTGTGTAATCTCATGGTCCCACTTAACTGTTTTCCTTTACAATCTTTCTTCTATCATGATATTTAGACTTTTATCCAATTAGTAGTTCTTTGTTTGGATGTAATTCTGTTTGGTTTCTGGTTTCTTCTTTCTTCTACTCTAGAGAATTCTTAGGTTACTAGGGAAAGACAATACACAAAAAATTGCCACTTGTTCTTGAAGGGTATTCCATTACAAAATATATTCATTTTTCTTGCGAAAAGATGCATCCATATTTCTTGATTGCCATTGCTGATGATTATGTTTTAATGAATAGAACCCAAAATGATACCGTTATAATGTATAATTCAATGTCCAAATAAAGAACCACTGCACTGCTTCTTTGCATGTTGGCTTCTGATGGAGTATCACCTTGAATGTTAAAGCTTTAATAACTTGAAAGCATGATATTTTTAAAAGACTTCAGTTCTAGAAGTTTTGATCTTGAGCTCACCAAACCCCTTTTGAAAGAAAAGAAAAATGCATACTTCTAGAATGATTTCAATGATGAAAATTCTTAAGTTTATGAAGCATCTATAAGATTCTTGCAGAATCCTACTACTCAATGTTATGTTAGGAATACAAACATACATGCTTGATTTTACCAGAACTGATTATGTACTGCTTTTTTTTAATAGTTATTATCTTCCATTTGCTCTGCTAAAGCTCATTGCATGCAACAAATATCTTAATGCGCACTAAATCAGATTTCGGTGTTACAAAAATGCCAAAGTGGTCTTAGAATCTAGACTGCTGGATGCTTTTTATGATTCATGTGGTGTGTTTCACTTAATCCATCCAACAACATAATTCGAAGAACACTAACTCTTCTTGGGAATGCTAATTGAGTTGCTCAGATTGTACAGTACACATTTTCATGATTGATCATGCATATGGATTGCCAATCTTTAAGAATTTGTGCTATTCAGACTGGATGAATAAATATCTGGCCTCAGGATAATTTTGCTGTCTCCATGTTTTAGAACTTTAGAAATACATGCATTCAGTGAGTAAAAATAGAATTGGATTTTACAGGGGCGGGGATTGGAAGACGGGAGGTAGCTGTCACTTGGAGACATTGCCTGAATTGGGTGCATCATTGGTGCCGTCAGGATCATGGTCCCAGCTAAATATAGTGAACGGTGTATTGTTAGCACATTCAAACAAGTCACAGGTGATGCAGATGGATGTGTTGAATGTGACCCACATGACATCTCGGAGGAAAGATGGTCATTTATCCTTGTACTATCTAGGATCCAAGATTGGCCCTGCTTCTCTTCATAGGCAAGATTGCAGCCATTGGTGCTTACCTGGGGTCCCTGATGCGTGGAATGAGCTCCTCTATGCGTTTTTCCTAAAACGGGAAGCTACTCGCACACACAGTTTAAGGGAACCTTCTGAGGCACAGATCTGATTCATTGCAGAAAGCTTCCTGAATGCAGGTGGTAAGGTTCAATTTAAGGGAAAGAATGGCAAATCCTTAAAATTAACTGCAGTTTCCTGCAAGCCCTTTACAAGAGTTGGATGGGCATGGAGTTTCTTGGATGAACATCTGAGAAGTGAGAAAGTACACAAGAACCATGGTTTTCTAAATCCATGACAAAATATTGTCTTACATGAGGTTAAGACACTACCATTTTTTGAAGAGTTAGTGCCTAGTGGGGGTTTCTAGATCCTGGATTTTGACTAGATGCTAGTGAGTTATACATAGAAGCAGCTAAGCAAAAGCAAGCTTATTGGGGAATGGGAAACACTGTAGATAGAGATACACAATAGGTCTGTGTGACTGATTCTGTCACATCTTATAGTTCCTCCAGATAAAATTACATTACCAAGTTCTATTTGAGAAAAAAAAAAAAAAAAAGATTTTTCGTTGTAAGTTGTATAGAGAAAGATTGTTCCATGAGAGAACTGGAATGGTTATTGATGGGTTCCAAGTATTGGGTCTATTGGCTATGGAGAAAATCGGGTTGTAATTATCTTCTTTCTAATACAAAGCGGGCGTTCTTTTCTGGGATCTTGAGAGGGAGAAAGTTGGTCAATGGGATTTTGGTTCCCATTGACCAAGAATCTCATATTTTTTTTTTTTTTAGATTTATGTGGGGGTTAAGGAAAGTTTATTTTCTTGGGTATCACTTCTCATTTCTTAGGTGGGTAAATAAGTTTCCCACCTAGGGGGAAAGTTGACAACACTTGAATGAGACAAAAACATGGTTTTTAAAACCAAACTGGTTAGGGGTCTGGTTACCGGTTCGAATGGTCCGACCATTTGACCCGAATGGTTGGCCCGTTTTGACAAAAAAAGTAAAAAAATTGAAAAATGGCCAAAACCGTTCGAATGGTTAACCGGTCTCTGTTTTTCTGGTCCGATCGTTCAGTTTTGAAAATCTTGGACAAAAATGCCCTTTTATGATATATTTTTATAGTTAAAATGGTTATTGCCTTATTTATATGATTGGGCAAATCCGTATTTTTTCGTAATATTTATTGCCGACGTTTTAATGACTTTTGAACCTTTTTCTTTGCGACTCGAGTAAATGCTCTGTTGAATAAGTTGATATTTTACAGGCATTTCTCTGCAACTCCGTGAAAAGTCTGGCTTCAATAAAATAAATCAGTGCTCAGAAACTGTTTAAGCTGTTAGTCATAATTCAGCCATTAATGTGCGATTCATGGAGACGAGAACCCATGCCATATCCATAATCAATCAAGCTTCAAGCGTGGCGACTGGCGAGTGGTGACATTTGAGTTTTTAACAGTTCACCATGTGATCTTCCAAATTCCAAGAAGGCCCAGGAACGAAAAGAGTCTGCCACAAGTTACAAGGGAGTAGCCAATTAGTTAAAACGAGGCACGCATCGTGAACAAGTTTTTAACTCATCTCTGCACACCAGCTATCGAAATTCGAAAGGAAGATCAATAATTAAAACCAGTTCTCTCAGATATCTGCAAATTCATTAGAAGTCGAACACAAGAATTCTGTTCTTCCGTGAAAAACATTTCTATTCGGGGTTCGCATTTGCCCCCCAAACCTAGGCATGACTCGTGCGGTCTCTATTTCACGCCGTTAAGGCTGCCATGAGCGTGGATAGGATGGTTTCGCAAGTAGTCCCTTGTAGTACACCACCACAGTTTCCAGAGAAGAGGAAAGACTTGGGAAACTTAAGCATCTTGCCAAGCCAATCCATGACTATGCACTTCAGCTCTGTGGCCGCCGGCAACGACATCCAGTTGAACCCAACAACATTAAATCTGGTGCTAAGCATTTCGCCGAGAAAACCAGCGATGCTACCGTTGGAAGGGAAGTAAGCGTAGTAGTTAAGGGGCGCCGAGAAAATCAGCAACGCTTACTTCCCTCCATTACAAATACTTACCTTCTTGCCGTTTGTATGGCCGTCGGTGTCGGCCGGCGAAACTCGAAAGAGTTTATTTCCGGTGGGTGGGTTACGAAAGGGGGCGCCAGGGTTGTAGAATACCCAGAATGGGAGAAGAAATAAATCCTTTTAGGCGAAAAGGAATTAACGAACGTGATACAAACAACGTGAAATAGAGACCGCACGAGTCATCCTAATGCGCGTATGTCATGACACATGTCGCGCCTAGTTTTCGTGGGACGTTTTTGGGGCAAGTCTGTGAGGGGGTAGATGCAGTATTCGGTACGACTGACTATTGTCATCAAATAATAGAGAAAAACAAAAGATGTCGCTTCTTAAATACCTCTTCTTCTCCTCGATTTGACTAACCGCACAAAAGAGTACAAATTCTTATCCCTAACCTTGAAATCCTCCATCTGGAAACCCTATTTTTTAAACGGTTCAGGAACCATTTAAATTAGATGATGCCGTCCGTCATGCTGAGTCTACAAGTTACAAAATTCTTTATTGTGACTTGGGATGGGAGATTAGTGATCCTGAATCAAACGAGAGGTGTGCATCACATATGATGGACGGACATGTAATTGGAGCCATCTTTCCTTTTATAGGCCCATAATTCAACAGTCCAACACGTCTCACCTCCATGGCCCAAAACCTCACCTGAGCCTTCAAATCGGGCAATCCGATTTGCAACCTTCCATGTTCCATCACAATTAATCTTTGTACAATACTTTACACACCTATCCTGATAAGGCATTGCAAATTTGCAATAAAACCCCTGTAAGTTTTAGCTCAGGATTTAAGTTCTCATCTTTCAAGGCTGTTAGACAATCATACATTATTGGACTTATGGCTTCAATAGCTATTTAATGGAAGGTACCAACTGAGCTACTTGGTAAGGTCTCTGACCATTGGACTCTGTCTTCAATAGCTAGTTAATGGAAGGTACCAATGTGAGGTCTTTGACTAATTATTCAGCCGAATCCGCTGAATCCACCCAACTCACCCATTTATGATCTGCCCATTATAATTAGTGGATTAAAAATGGATTGAATGATCAACTTAAATAGGTTGGTTTGTATTAACCAATTAGGTTGTGGGTACCCATTAGATTAACCTCATATAAATGATAAAGTTTAAGCTCTTTAGTCATTTTCCGGCAGCTAACCTTGAAAAAGATTCTCGTGTGACTTTAAAACTTTTTAATCCCCAAATTATCCTTTTCCTTTTTCCATCGGTTTTTAAATCAAGTATTGGGGTTCAATTTTGTTTTTTTTTTTTTTGCAAACTCTATTTTTTACTAGATTAATTGATATTAATTGCATGTTGTGTTTATTGCAAATTGAGCTTTTCATCAAAGTTTCTCAGTTTTTTATAATAGTTTCTATTTTATAGAAGTTTTTTTAGTAGGTATTTTTGATAAATTAACTTCTTTTATGACTCGACTTAACGGGGTCTTTATTGAAATCTAAAAGTACAAGAGAGTAATTATCATTATTCCTAAAGTATATGTACCAATCTGTAATTTATTCAAAGAAAAAACAATCTAATATTATCGAGTATGGGATGTATTTGATTCCATTGTTATTTTTACCTGAAACGTATTTGGGTTGATCAATGATCATAACAAATTGCAATGGATTGGTAAGGAAAAAAAACTAATAGGTTTTGGACCAATTGAAAAAGCCAGACAATTGGTACATGGACGATTACTCATTGTCAGTACATTTTCCTTTTTCACTCTTATCAAATACTAGTAAGTATGCATGTGCTTTCCAGGTGGTAATTCTAGACGATGATAATTATAGTAATAAATTAATAATGTATCCAAAATTTTAAATAAATTTTATGTATTTTTATTTTTGGTTTAGATAAAATATAAAAACCTCTCCTAAAATTTCTAACAATCATAAAAATCTCTCCTATGATTTTACTTTAACAAAAACCTTATCTCTATTTTTGAAACTGAAACTTTTWACAAAAAACTCCCTTCCCTCAATGACAAAACAGAAAATGATAAAGGGATGATTTTTTTTTCCAAATATCCATTTTACCCTTTCGTATTTTACCCTAATAAATAATGCCACAAGTTCGAGATCAACACGGGCCAGACCACTCCATTGGACTTCATGCTTGAAAATAGCAAAAGGTCGTGGCGCATAGCCTGGCATATATACATCAAGCATCCAAGCTCATTCACAACAAACCTTAAGTCCTCCAATGTAACTCCTGGGTCCCAACTTTGAGGCTTGTCCAACCGATTACTACCTCGCTGTGCTTGTTGATACCTCCTCCAAAGATGAAACCCCTGACTCAGCCAAATATAGGGCCCCTGAGACCTACAAGTCTAATCGTCAAGCCACCTCCAAATCCGATGTCTACTCCTTCAATGTCCTCTTACTGGGACTTCTGACTGGAAAACCTCCATCCTAGCATCCCATGCTCATATCCAGTGATCTGTTTAATTGGTTCAGATCTGTCATGGATGACAACAACGGTGCCGAAGAGAACCGGCTAGCCATGCTTTTTGAGATAGCCACCACGTGCATCCAGATATCTCCGAAACAGAGACCCACAATGTGGCAAGTTTTGAAGATGCTCTAGGAGTTTAAGGAGACGGTGATGAGTTCAATACCAGGTTTTAGTTCAAAAAGTGAATCAAAGACCAGTCACAACCAATTGACCTCTTTCTAGATCCCTAAAATTCTATAGAAATCCAAGACTAATCAATCGAGTGACTCATTTAATGAATCTCCAAACAGAGCAATACTATTAAAATTCTACAAAAATAATACTATTGAGAATTTGAATGAAAAGAGAGAAACCATCTGGCTGAATATGTATGAAAACAGAGCAATACTATTAAAATAATGACTAAATCCCGTGTGCATTAAAATACTGTTAAAACAGAGCAATAATGTTAAAAATAAGAAATTAGTTTGTGCTATGTTCACTCACTTGGTTGAATACGTCTGAAAGAGGAAGAACAAGTTGGCAAAGAAAAAAACGAAATCCTTGTGCATTCGTTCTTGCGTTCGTTCCTCCCGTGTTTCTCCTCTTCAAACTGGAAAATTAGAAATTGGGATAATAAAAGAGGGTAAAGAGGTATAATATCTCGATAGGGGTATTTTAGTAAAAATAAAAGCAAATTAATTTGTAAAAGGGTAAAATAGGTATTTAGAAAAAATTATTCATCAGTTTAACGTTTTTCATCTTTGTCAATGACAGAAAGAAGGTTTTATATATATATATATATATATATATATATATATATATTATTTTGCATTTTATTATTAATCAAATGTAGATTGTAAAATCCAAATTTGACCACATAAACACCTCATCCAAATATGTGATAATCAAATTGAATTGTAAAGTTTCAAATATCATTGAGAGGCCTATTTGCTTGGCTAGACTTCTTTTTTTAGTGTTTTATCTTTTTGATGTACCTTTTTTCTTTTATTTATTTATCAAAAAAGTGTAAGATTTAAATAGAAGGAATTTGATGTGAAAAGTAGTAGTTTTTGTAATTTAAATTTTACATAATTAAATAGGGAATAAATTCAAAAATGAGTATTTTAGTTAAATGTTTTAAATATTGGACTAGACTGGACAGTTGGACCGTTTGGCTTAGGAAT